ACACATTCATACAGCACTCTACTACACACACATTCATACAGCACTCTGCTACACACACGTTCTTACAGCACTCTGCTACACACACGCTCATACAGCACTCTACGATACACACATTCATACAGCACTCTACGACACACACATTCATACAGCACTCTACTAAACACACATTCATACAGCACTTTACTAAACACACATTCATACAGCACTTTACTAAACACATGCTCATACAGCACTACTACACACACATTCATACAGCACTTTACTACACACACGCTCATACCACTCTACGACACACACACTCATACAGCACTCTACGACACACACATTCATTCAACACTACTACACACACATTCATACTGCACTCTACTACACGCACGCTCATACAGCACTACTACACACACATTCATACAGTGCTACTACACACACGCTCATACCACTCTACTATAGGGCTGCAACTAACAATTATTTCAATAATTGATTAATCGGCCGATTATTTTTTCGATTAATTGATGGATTGGCAAAAAACCCTCCACATTTTAATTTCCACCTCTTTATACCAAAATTGAACATTTGACTGACATAGCAATTCGCACAAAAAACAGGTTGCTACTTGACTATTCTGTAAAAAAAAAACATTGATTAATAATTTAAAAAAAAGTTAGTCAAATAGCTTAAAAAATAAATGTACACAAAAATATATACAAATGTATGCATTAGACCTGCACAATATGTAGTTACTTTGTAAAATGTGTCCTTGAGGGAAGAGTGTTACCTGGAATAAAATTGTGGATCATTGCAGTGAAGCCTTCGTATTCAACCATCGACGGAGGCCTCGTACGATCATGTTAAGGATATTTTCGGTCAAGACAGCTGCTTGCTGTGGTGTCCTTGATGGCTTTCTATCATGAAGGCTGTCATTGTTTGTTGTTGTTTTCTGGAATGAGAGAGTATATATGTAGTATATTATAATTTACAGCAACTCAAGAAATGCCTTGTTTCACTTAGTTGTAGTATGAACATATGCTGTCATATATTCATAAATTAAACGGATTCTTTCATTTTTCTGGACTGTATAATGACGTGCATCTGATTTTAGAAATGTAACGTGAGACGTTAATAAATGACCCACTGTCGTTGGTGAGTCAAAGATAATTAACAGAATCAAAGTTTAACACATCACACATTTACATTAATTGGCAAAATATGGAAAATAACAACATGGCTAATTTTAGCAAGCTGTACAATTTTGATTAACCACACGGCGGTGGTTGAAAACTTTACACAGACATTTCTAAAATATCTGGAATGATTTCTACCTGATAGAAGAATTTTAAAGATGGAAAGATGAAGTTTAGAGGGAGAAAAAGATGGGTGAGGGGGTTTGTTTATGTCGGCACCAGAACGGCACTCTCCGGTGAGTTCTCAGCTTCTTCCCCCAGTACACTTAGGTGGTATAAATCAACTCTTTTACCTGGAGATGTCTCCCTGGTAAGAAGTTCCATTTAACGCACCCTTCCAGCGTCTCCGTAGGAACAGCTGTGAATCGTCCGAAGTAGTGACGTTACTTGTTCGACACAAGTTCACCTCACGAGTGGACTTCACATGAGTGGAGTCCGTCAGAGTTCCACCCAGAGGTGGAAGATGTTATAATCCCATAAGACTCTGTCAATAAACCAGGTGTCTGTAGTGATGATGCATGAACAGACGACCAGCTTTACTAAAGATGAAGCCTGATCAAAGTTCTCCTCAGCAGCAGTAGGACTGAACTCCTGCTTTAAATCAAGCTGAAAATGATAATGTGTAACCAAAAGTGTTTTACTGTTTCGATAACGTGTAACTAGGCGGTTTTACTGTTTTACTAATAATCAACAAAT